AAAAATATGGCCATGTGAGATTAGGTCAAGTCGTTAGAGAGTTGTGCGGAGAAATGGAAAATGTGGAAATTGAATGCCAGGTATTTTATTTATAAAATTTTACAAAAAAATAATATAACAATATACTTATTAAATTAATCAGACTTCCTCACTTGGTGGGCTGACTCGGAATTTTCTGGAAGAATTTTATCGTTCGGCACGAGGTATGGATCCATTAACAGGCCCTGCTCCCAAACGCCGTGTCACAAAGAAGGACAAAGAGAGCGGAATTGTAGAAGGGACGCCGCTGCCTTCAATATCTATTGTGTTTCCTACAGAATCAACCATCAGAGAATCAACATACGGTCCTGCGGTATTGGAAATTTTATTATCTTTGGACCTTAATTGGAAATAAGCATTTTTTGGATTGTTGATGATGTAGATTTATTCATTAATACCGAATACATCTTTTATGATGCAAAAAAGGGGGCATCAACGATATGCTTTTCACGAAAGCATTACAATAGAGACACATTTCCAAAGAGTTTACTAAGAGATTGTATATCTGAAAGAAGTGGGACGTTGATGCACACAAAGGTATGCAAATTCATAATCAATAAATATCAGTGTCCCGGTTAATTAATTAATTGATTTTGTGCTTGTATCATTATTATTTATTAGTTTATACTTGCCAGAAAAATTCAAAAAGACGATGAAGATCAAAGCGCCGCAGTTAAAAATGAAGGAGATGGTGAAGGAGTTGCAAGTGATAAAGTTGGATGGTTTTATTGCGGGTGAGTATATCCGTAATTGTTAGAGAAGAAGGCTATTTTTCAATCGCTCACTCAGCGTTACCTTTAATAGAAGTCATAATTTCACCGAAGCAGCATGGTAAATATTCTTTATTTAATATCAGATGTTTGCTATAGAAATATGTATTCATTTTTCTCGAATCCTAGGGGAAAGATAACAAATTCACGAACTAACGGACAACAACAATTAAGAATAAGTAATTGGGAATTGGGTGTCGTGTTTCCATTGTTCAAGAACTACAATACATTAGTGGAGTTCAACAAGTCCGGACGATATAATTTGGACGATTGGTTCGTTCAACATGGAGTTCCTGTTCCTTATCAACGCCCCCTTAGAAAATATTCAGTAACCGATGTTCCTTGGGTACGTTAAATCATTTTCCTATATATCTGTCCTATATTTCATATACGACAAATATAGTCGATGTCAATATCACAATTAATTATCAATTAGATGCAATCATTCTAAGCTTGAAGGGAAAGATAAATAATTCTGGGAAGAACATTATATAATAATAACATGAACAATTTTAATAATTATCACCTTATCAATAAATTATATATATATGTATATACATGAATTAAATTAATTATTGGTCATAGATTGTCATAAAAAAATTTTTGTCGTTATAGTTTTGCACAATGTCTCAAGCAGTTGGCAGAGTAATGCGCTTTTTCCTTAGCCAATCCAAAACGAATCCTTTTTATTATTGCGTTATTTGTAATTGATAAGTAATTAAATGCCTTTAAAAGACAGCACTTGCCTACGCGCGAGCGTGGCATTTAGTAGACGCGCGAGACCGAATACTCGGAAGACTGTCGACAAATATTGCAGTTACTTTAATGGGGAAGCATAAACCAATCTTTGATCCTGCTTGTACGTATTAATAATCACCAAGTAAATTTAATGAATCATCAATTGAACTAAATTGAATATCTGCGTAGCCGATTGTGGAGACTACGTAGTCGTGATAAACGCCAAAGAAATAAAAGTGACAGGACGCAAAGCTGAACAAAAATTGTATCGACATCATACCGGGTACCCGGGTGGTCTTAAAGAGATTCCTTATAAACGAATGATGGAGACTAAACCGACAGAGGTTTGTGATGGTGTTTTTGTAGCATTAATAAGAAAAATTGCCAACACGCAATAATTATATTGAATTCATAAAGATCATTCAAAAAGCCGTCTCTGGAATGCTACCAAAGAACAGATTACGCAATGTTCGACTAGGTCGATTGTTTATCTTCCCAGACGATCAACATCCTTACGAAGGAAATATCATCAAGTTTTATGACGAAGCGTTGACGCATAGTTTATTTAATGCGTCTAAATTTCAGGATGCTAAGAATAATATAACAGATAATAATGACAACCCTAGCAAGGATGACAATATTAACAGGAATAAGAATGATATTATTAACGGTAAGGGTAATATTACTAACAGTAAGAATAATATAATCAGTAAGAAGAATAATATAATTAGCGGTAAAAATAGTGTGAATAAGAGAAATTATGGTAGTAAAAGTAATAGTAATCATGATTATCAAGATAATTACAACCATCAGGATGATTATGACTATCAAGGCGACCAACACCGCTATCAGGATAAGAAGAATTATCTTAAAAAAGAGCAAAGAGGAGGGTTAAGACCGAGAAACAACAACAACAATAATAATACTAATAATATTAACAATCCTTCAAAATTGAAGAAGAATTCAAGGGGAGGGTTTGAAGACGATTTCTCATCAAAAGGTCAAAAAGCCAAAAGATAGGGAGAATCTAGCCAGAACAATAAATGCAATAAATGATTAATAAAATCTTCTATAGTAAATACACAAAGTTCCAAATGCGAATGTTTTATTCCTATAACAGGCTAGTGTAAGATTTCTATACGTTTTCCAGGTACCCAATCCACGGCCGCATTCCTAATGTTATGCCAATACTGTAGCCTGATAGTTAACGCTTTGGCGGTATCCAAATCATTGTTTTGGAAAGCTTGTGATATTTCTTTTATTATTTCGTTGATCCTTTCTATAATTATTAAAATCATGCTAAATATAAATCACAATCTAATATGAAGAGATGTCTCGTCTATTATTTATTACCTTCGTTCATCTCTCTTATGTTCTTTACTTCTTCTTCGCAAGTCGCTTCTTCAAGCAGTTCACGCGCTTCCATCACTTGCATCAATAATTCAGGATCTTCAATTGATTCTGATTCGGTCACCAGGATACCGTTCAATCGAAGCTTTTATGCGAATTATGCGTATATATATTTTTTTATATACATGAAGGATTGCTTGGACCAAAAACGTAAAATAAACTAATTACCATATACTGAGCTCTGGCAAGTGGATCACGTAATGTTTGATACGCTCCATTGATTATCGAGGATTGATTAAGGGCGTACATGTATTCTTGCTATAGAGGTATTTTTTTAGGTTTTGTTGGTGGTGTTTACACTACTGTTGTAAAACAAATCATTTCATTTTTTTGCTATTTTATATGTGCACGTGTATTAAACACTTATAATACATATGCTGGTAAATTCACTTTTTACGATATAAATGACGGTTAAATTTCTCAATCCTTTTTTTGGTCATTCATAGTTCTCAATTACTTACTTGATCCTTTTGTGAGTAACTGTCCGGATGTATGCGTTGTTGAAGTGACAGGAAATTACGTCGTAATTGTGATAAATCAATATCATACGAGAATTTTTTTCTAACGGAGATATAACGATTACCGAATTAATGACGTTCGATTTGCTTGAATCAACAAGAAATAATCCAACATACTTGTCCCCTTGCCTAGACACACCCATACCAAGCAAGTCAAAATACGTGACATCATTTGGTAACCCTTGTTGAATAGCACCACACTCTTCTCTATTACAGAGCAAAGAACTATAGTCAATTTCCGAATCGCATTTCCAACAGTGCCTTCTTTGTGTAGATATCTCTGGAAAAGGAAGTATAGTTGAAGTATAAAAGTGTCGTGGTAAAGGTGGTTGTTGTTGCTGTTGTTGATAAAGATGAATGTATCTTTTAGAGTGTTCTTTTAATACATTCTTTTTTACATTATCAGCACTTGCTGCTGTTGTTGTTCTGGTGAGCGCTGTCAGTAATTCAAAATTTTTGGAACGGGATACAGCCGTGAATGGTCGTGTTCTACTTATTGTTTGAAGTAATAGAGCTCCGGTTGGTTTATTGAAATTTACGAATATTGACATTTTTTCAGAATTCTGTATCTTCCCGCCAAAACATATTTATATTTACCATTTTTTTCCACGTGACCTTTTTTAAAAGTCATCACCTAAAAATTTTTCAGTTATTGATTTTTTTTCCCAGAACAATTTTGACATTTTTTTTGTTTCGTTACGAAATCAACGTAAGATATAAAGAACACAACACATGGCTAAATTCTCTAAAGGTATGATAAAAGTAAATTTATTTCGGTGTGGCTATTTCGATTCGAGACTAGTTTTTAATGAGAGAAAATACAGGAACACATTATCGTGTGTTGAAAGTTTCATGAGATTCACGTATATTCGTTTGGGGATGATCGAAATGGAACATGGAGTTTTTCATCGAATTAGCATTTTCATTTTTATTAATTATCGATTATTTCATGAAAAACGACCAAATCCGAATTCTTTTTTTTTTCATTAATTACCTTGATATTTATTTACTTTACTATTAAAAATTTAAAAGATTCGATTAAAACGACAGCATCTGAATTCATTTTACTTTAGCACTTACTTTTATTTTGTTATTAAAACAGACGTGAGCTCTTCAAGGCGCAAGAGCCGTAAAGCACACTTTTCAGCACCATCTTCCGTGCGTAGGAAAATTATGAGTGCTGCATTGTCCAAGGAGCTCCGAGATAAATATAATGTGAGCATCATTATTATGCATAACGAAATTTGAAAAATCAAATTGATCTATTGACTTAAATAAATCGGACAACTGCGTCAAAAAAAACCAACCCTCGAAAAAAAAAGGTCCGCTCAATCCCAATCCGCAAAGACGACGAAGTCCGCATAGTACGCGGCAGCGCCAAAGGTCGTGACGGAAAAGTCACACAAGTGTACCGTAAACGCTGGGTGATTCACATTGAACGCATCAACAAGGAAAAGGTCAACGGGACGAGTGTCCCGACCGGGATTCACCCGTCAAAAGTTGTCGTTACGAAGTTGAAGTTGGACAAGGATCGAAAGGATCTGTTGGAGCGAAAGAATCGGTCCAATCGTAAAGAGAAGGGTAAAGAGACAGCGACTGCCACTGAAACCGTTGAAGCTATGGAAGAGGTATTCTGTTTTTGATTTTTTTTTTTGGTTTGGTTTGGAATTGTGATCATGTTTCCTTAACGTTTCTTTGATTTTTTTCTTCTTTAATCGATAGTGAAAAAATTAACCAAATCAGAATAATAAGAAGAGCAAAAATTGATAGTCGTAATAATAGTAATAGAAATAGTAGTATTTATTATTTTATTATTAATAGAAAAATAAAGTTTGCTTCGTATGACATTATTATTATTACTACTACTACTACTACTAATAATACATTCTTCTGGTTTGTTAAGCTATTATTTATTCCGTGGCTATATTCATAAAATTGTTAGGGATACCAATGGATCGTCAATGACTTTCCCCACGTTCCCATCGCGACGCAGCTTGCATATATCAATCAAAGAGATCCAACAATTGTAATGGAGGAATGAACCAATGGACCAGTCCACTGGCTCATCATGCATGAAAAGTGATAAATGCCAAACAAACTAATACCATTAGTAGTGTAATTCTTGTTAACAAAAAAAGATAATAATCTCATAATTCTACATTTTAAAATATCAACATGTATATATATATAAAAAATAAACTCTATGTGTAAATAAATAAAAATGTCTTTGAGCATAATGGCGCTAAATTAACGAATATGTAATATATGAATGCACGGATAAATTGGTAAAACGTATGAATTTTGTAACCCACAAAAATAAATACGGTTTACTCAAAGTAATGGCGAATTAGTGAGTGATTGATTGATTGATTGATTCTATGTACAAAAGTGTAGATGATAAATAAGATTTATGCATGCGAGCATGCATAAATTTTCTGCGAAAAATCTATTTTTTTTTGTCGTGCCTATCTATAATCGATTCTTGAACACGCTTCTTTCGAATCAATATCTTACGACTTGACTTTCTTCTCTTTCATTAACTCGAATGCCTTAATTGCAGTCTTCTCCTCTTTCATCTGAAGCATATACACGATTCCCATATTCGCCAATGTTATCGCAACCCCATTTTTGCCCACACGCTCGACTCCATCTTCCCACACAATAGCATCAATAATTTTCGCCCGTTTTTCAGAACTGATCACGATTCGTTTACGATGTGCCGGCGTCTCAATTGATAATTTCATGTGACCCCAATTGAGATTTGTCCATACACCGTGATCGTTCTGCAAGAATACACGACACTTTGTTTCCATTATTTCTGTGACTGTTGCCACAGTTTCACGCCCGTTTTCTTGTGCTTGTAGTGAGGAGGAACGGGCAACTAGAATTTGAGGTGGACCGGGAACAACTAACCTTGGAACATTTTGTGTTGGTGATTGATTTTGTTGTGGTGGTGGTTGTTGTTGTAGCTGCTGTTGATATTTTGGTGATGGTGATTGTGGTGATTGATTTGGTTCATTCCCCTTAATATGCTGATATCTTGGTGATGCTGATTGTGATTGTGGTGATTGACTCGCTTCATTTACCTTAATACTTTGCATACAACGATCAGCTTCGACAGGATGTGGCGTATTAATTCGATAATATTCTTTGCTCTGACCTATTTCACAAGATATACTAAAATCAGTCGGTGTCTCTCGATGTAAGGTTGTCGTAGGGAGGATCCACGCATTAACAACCATGCGTCTACTTTTCTCCAATACTATAGCCCAACAACATTGGCCCGTCGTTGTCATTCTAATTTCTACAATACAATTTTCTCTCGTCGTCAAAGGTTTCCACATGTTTTCTTTCCATATAGAAACTTTACATGGTGGTGTTTTGTAAAGTATCTCGCGAGTTGCTGCTATACTAGAGACAGACGCAAGAGAACTATTAGAGCTTGATCTTTGAAGATGTGGCGCCATGTGAACTTCCGCGGCTGCCGGGTCGCTACGAAGAGATGATGATGATTCAGTTGGATAAGGTTTATAGTCCCCGGGATATTGTCCGCCAGCATTATGTGGTGGATCCGGCGTTCTGGATCGTGGTTGAAAATGCACTTTTGGTTGAGGTTTTGTGTTTGGGGGATATCCCGTAGAATTATTACCATTATTGTAATTGTTATTCACAGCTAAACCTGGAGGTGATAAACGTGAATCAGAAGTATTTTGATCATTATTCAACGGAAAATTTTTTCTTTCCGAAGATACAGGTGATGATGGCTGTGGCATCTGATGTTGAGCATTCGGAAGAGATAGCAATTGACCAGCATCATTGCTTACAGCATAAGGTACAACTGGGCTCCTTGGGCTTCTTGGGCTACGTTTGTCACTTGCCGATAATGGGGAATCAACAGAGCCTTGTCCCAAGGAGCGAGGGTCAGTTTTGACTTTTGGTTTGGCACTTGCTATTATTGAATGATTAGAATAAGCAAAGATTTCTATATAGAGATCGACTATTGTATCCTTACTAAATACCTTTGGTTGCAAAATCAATAACCTCATTAAATCCCTGGAACCACCGATCCTTTACACTCTTTGATTCGGCACGAAGAAGAACTTTCTCTCTTTTCATAACAAACAATTCCAAAAGATCTAAACAAAATTATATATCTTAATATTTGAATTAAAAAAAAAAGGATAAAATTACGGAAATACAAAGGTTTTGTACCATATTTAGCTTCATCCAAATCCCGAACAGCCAAATGTTTTCCACTCAATGGCGGATACAAAAGCAAAAACTCCATATTTGGCGTGCGTTGTTTCTCTTCAGGGGTGAGCACGCGACAAATCATCAAAATATCAGTCAACAAAAACAAGTGAGCTTTATGCATGACCGAGCCATCAGCGTACTTGATTATTACGACGAAGTTGTCATGCAGACGAATTTCCCTTTTGAAAGGAAGATTTGGTGGGAGAAAAGAGATTTTGACTTGCTAATGTAATAGTAATTCACGAGATTAACTCATCAAAATAATGTAAAGTATTGATTCACAGAGTAGCTAGTAAAGATGCTATACCTTTGGCTGTTTATTAAAAAGGTCAATAACATTAGACGTATCAAGCTGCTCTTCCAATTCTTTTAGTCCATAATTCCAATTAATCCGATTTGGAAATTCTGAATTCAGTCCTGGATGTAGCGAACCACCAGGCGAAGTAAGCGACGATGGTGAATAATTACTATTAGGAGAATTAGGAGATATTGGAGAAACAGGTGGAGGATGCTGTTGCTGTGGTATTGAAGGTGATATTGCTATCGTGGCAATAGCGTCATGTTTAGGTTGTTTCATTGGCAATGTTGCAAGAACGGCTGGTCTTGTTTGTATACGCGTTCTTGCTTGTCTTTCCATGTCGATGAGAGCGTCAAGACGTTGATTGGCCGAGAATAGGAGGTTGTGGTCGGAGCGCCCCGGTTCTGTACTTCTTAAAAGACGCTATTTTATATACGCACGTTTGTGAAAATGGTTATAAATATATGCATGTATCATAATCATTAGTATTATTGAAACATTATGATTGACTTGGTTATAAGACTATAAAAAAAAACAAACATACCATATATAGTTTTTTATAGTACTGTAACCTTGCAAGCGGCATTTCGAAAAAAAAATCAAGCGACACGGGTCGATTACGTTCCGATGTTATTTTCTAGTGACATCATGCCATATTACAGATTAACAAAGAACTAGTAAAAATGTAAACTATTACAATTGGTACATACAATAAGAGTTTGTTGTAACGACTCATGTTCTTCGATCATTGACCAACTATCGAATCCCTTTATAAAATGCTGACAGTATTGCGTATATGGCGCTTCCATATCTTCTATCTATTAAAGCATCGGTTTTGTTAATATAAAGTGGCGTGATAGAGCCCATCTAATTATAATATTCTGAAATTTATTTACCCATATCATCAAAGTATCGCCTAAATCTTTAGCAGACTGAGGATCCTTTGATATTTTGGAAAGTTTCTGTTTTTGAATTCGAATTTAATTCAGCTTAATGAGATATATGTATATATACATATATGACTTGAAGAAAATATTAGGCAAAAGCCAATTAAATTACTATACAACGTACTAACCGAATAAAATCGTTTATTTTGTCGGTATATTTCTTCGGTGTAGCGGAACATTGCATCTAGTTCCGCAGGCGGAAGGTCATCTGGACTCCAACAGGCCGTCACTCGCTATCAAATTAAAAAACCCGAAAAAGTTTAAAATGCCAGTATTTCTTTAGAAAATATAAAAAAAATCAATAAATAACATGCCTGTAATAAACACTTTAAATCCTCCACAAATTGTTTTTCTGTGTCAATAAGATCTAGTAAGGGACTAGGCTTAGGCGTTGAGTAATGGACATCGTGCTGTGGCATACGTGCATCAGGTCCATTTTTCCGCTAAAGAAATAAATTATTTATAGTAACGCTTTTAAGATCTAAAATTTCGCTCGCACTGTTCAAAAAGGAAAAAGCTTACAGTATCAGGTCCCAAGGCCCTCGAGGGTTCGTACATTAATATGTCAAAAGATTACTTTTTGTAAACGGCGAAAACGAGGACAATATATAAATATGTATGTGACAAGCGGAAAAGAGTGTAATAACACCAAAAGAAAGGATGTGTTTAGTGTAGTTTGCACGAAAGAGAAAGAGAAAGGGAGGTGAAATGATTGTTGGTATGAGGAAAATACTTTCTAAACAGAATGTTTTGCAATTTATTTATTACATATATTACAAACGATCGTCGTTGTTTTTTTTAAACACAGATAAACGAACCTATGACACATGTGAGAATTTGCATTAGTCTGCTGCTTATTTTGTGATTAGCATGATTAGCATCGTGAATAGGCTCGAATTGACAAATTATTATTTCCTTATAAGTTTTCTTTGTGTGATTGTGGTGGTTTCTGAATTATCAAAATTTCGAAAATTGATTAGATGAAGATGTTTAATCTATTTCGCCTAAAGTTTATTTTTTCGTTGTAGATGGTTGTAGATGTTGTAATAACTGTTTTTTTTCGATTTGATTGCTTTTAATTAAGAAATATATTAACGTTAAGATGCAATTCGTTTATTGATCTTCATCTTTTTAAAGTAATGATATCGATATTGTACACAAAATTTAGTATGAATAAAAACGGCTTTTGATTGGTATAACAAAAAAAACAATGAAGCATTGTCATGAACATTTGAGTGATTTATTTGGTTGATCTATGATGAATGTCACATGGTCTATTTGACAACCCTGATTGGGAACACAAAAAAAACAATTACTCTTCTATACGTAGGTATGAAGAAACTGAACAATAATTTTGGATTAGTTTGTATTAAATACTAACAATAATCTCTTATTAATTAAACTAAAAAATTCTTATAGTATTAAAATATAAAATAAAGATTATTTATTAAAGAATATCGATTGTCTGCAAAAAAAATTTTCCAGAAACACGTGATCGCCTGTCTGGTTCCAATTACGATGATCTCATGAACATCAATTTTTGTTCTCTATATATCTTATATTTTAGTTGTTATTTCTATATTATCAGTCTTATCTTTTAATTATATCTTGTATTACATATAATGTAATTAATATAATTAACTTATATACAAAAGAAGCCAAAATAATACTTCCAAATATTTGAATTTTAAAATTATAATTGATTATAAATAGAACTTTATTGATTCAAAGATATTAATTTACTAAAAGAATAATGATAGATTTTTATTAATTTATTTTTAAATTTAGTAAATAAAAAAATTATTAAAAATAATTTAATATAAATTAAGTATAAAAAAATATAAATAAATATAAAATAAACATAAAAATAATATTAAAGAGATAAAAAGTATTTAATAAAAATATTTCAAAATATTATTAAAATTAAAAAAATTATAAATTATATAATTTGATATAATTTTATAAAATTATAAAATTAATAATTTCTTCTTTATTATTATAATATTATTATTATAATTAAAATTAAAATTTATTATTTTATTTAATTCTTATTTATTATTACTTATATTTTATTATAATTATTATATAATTTATATCTTATTAGTTATTATATTTATCATACATATTATAAGTTATTAATTAATATTAATAATAATTTAATTAGCTTTATATTATATAATTAAATATATATTTATTTTTCTAAATATATATTTATTTTTTAATTTATATATTTATTATTTAGTTTATAAATTTATAATTTATTTTTTAAAATATAAAATTATATCTTAAAATATTTTAGTAATTTAAATATTTTTTTATAAAATATAATTTTATATTTAAAGAAATATTTTCATATTATAAATAAAAAGTAAAAATTTTAGTTTAAAAATTTTCTTAAATAATTTAATTTTTAAAATTAATTTAATTTTAGTTTTATTTTGTATTATATATTTTATATAATTTATTAAAAAGTATTAAATTTATATATTAACAAAAAAAATTATATTAAATTAAATATTAATAAAATATAAATTTAAAATAAAATTATTATATTATTTAATATTAAAAAGAATATAAATTATAAAAAAAATAAAATTTAAAATTTTTATTAAAAAATTCTTATATAAAATAAAATAAACTTGAAATTAAATAAAAAATAAAAAATTAATTTTTAAATAATTTTTTTATTATATTTATTATAATTTCTAACAGATTTAACTATATAGAGAAATTATTTTAATTTTTACTATATTTTATATATATAATTTATTATTAATTACAAATTTTTATTTATCAAATATATTATATTATAAAATAAATAAATTATAAAATAAATTTATAATTAGAATAAGTTTTTGAATTAAAAAATATTTATTTTTTAATATTTACATTTAAAGTAATAAAAGCTATTTATAAATAATTATATTTTTAAATAATATAAAAAATATATATAATACTTGAAATTAATTTAAAAAAAATTAAATTTTTATACAAATAACTTCATGATTTTAAAATCTGATTTGATTTTTATAATATTATAATATATAATAAAGTTATTAATATTTTTTTTATTAATTTGAATTAAGAATACTTATTAAAATTTATAAATTTAACAAATAATATAATATTAAAGTTAAAATATTAATTAATTATTAATATATAAATAACTTATTTTTATTATTATTCAAAAAATATTTTTAATATGAATAAAATAAATCTTTTCTATTATATATCAATAAATTATATTCTTTTTATCTTATTAAAAATAAAAAAGATAAAATTCAAATTATTATACTTTTAGAATGCAATTTAATTAATTTAAAAAAATTAAAATTACTTATTATTAAAATAATATTTAATTTAAGATCTTTTAAAATATAAAGTATATTTTATTTTTTGTAAAATATTATGCTAAAAAAATATAATGTGAACTAATATTTTTCTTGATTTTATTTACTAAATAATAATTTTTATTATTATTAATTATTATATCTTGTTATTTTATTAATAATATATCTTCATATTTTAAGTCAAAAGAAATTTTCAACTTAACAATTTGACTATTCCCTATTTTTTTTCAAACTATATAGCATATTTACAATCTATAAATGCTAATATTATTAATAATTTCAAGATTATTTATAAATAACTTATCTTCTTAATCTTATTAAATACTTAAAAGAATAAAATAATTCAAATTTCACAAAATTAATATTTGAAAAGCAATTATTTATTTCTAATACTTGGAACGAAATAAGTGAATCAATAATTATTAATTGCTAGAAATATACTGGTATGCTTTCTGATCAAGAAACTAATTTAATATCTCAAGCTATCAACATTTCAGATGACATTCTATAATAAAACCATGTGATCAAGTATCACGTGGAGTGCATTTACAAAGACTAGATTTATAAACGAAATAACCTTCCGATAAGAAAGCAATCGACACATACCGCCCTTACAATTTATTGAAGCGAAAATAACAAAGTCTGAAAAGTACGATTTGCAACCCCAAGCAAAGACCACATGCCCAGATCCCATGGCGCCGCCAATACGGCACGCTGAGCTTCATAAAAAGCTTCTGTAACATATTCTTCCTTCATATTTTGTAAATTCTTTCTTTCATCTTCGTTTTCATTATGAGATGTCAACATGTGTGTTGACATTTCAGTGGTTTTCAATAACAAAGCCGCCGCGAGATTTTGATGAATTTTGGCATTATGTAGTGTGCTGATGATTCTAGTTGAAGAAGACGAGGCAGCCAAAAGTTTTAGTGAAGATCGTGCGGATGAAATTGCTTGGCTGGCGGATGCAGTGCTGATCAGATGATTTGTGAGGTGTGTCCATGTTTGTAGATTTGTTGGGGTTGCGTGTACGGATTTTACTAGTGATAGAGTTGATTCTATCGGCGAATCCTATATGAATTTAGATAAAGTTATATCTGTTAACCTATGTTACATAATTAAGAAATAAAGCAGTTGATTTAATGATTGTTACCAATAATAAGTGATAGCGACTTGTTAAAAAATCGATATCGTGATTTCGGTCAAGTTCATCTGTTTTTTAATAAAAGTTAAATTATTTTTCAGTTCATCTATAGTTATAGTAGAAAAACTAGAAAACTCGCCAGAAATATGTAACGGTAACTTTTTCATCTCCTGCAACGCTGCCGTTGCCAAAGTTTCGTTATTCTGAAGTAACCCGATAGCACAGAGTCCGAATATCGCGGGAAGATGATTCGGGTTTTGTGATATGCTAAAAGGGTATAATGGAAAAGTTGAGAAGAACCACATAACCTTATGAATGTATGAAAGAATTTACAAACCATCTAAACAATTCCTCTTGTGCCAAATTCCGTTGTTGTTCTCCTTGCAACGCCCAAAGCACTTGCGACAGCAACACAGTAACATCCTTTCGAATCTCCTCGACTCCACTTCCTTCCTCCGTTCCATTCAACGCCATTTCAAACATACTTAAAGAACTTTCCAACTGGTTATCAAAATAATAAGCAAGTCCTGCGCCCAATTGACTGTATATCCGAAGTGATGTGTTATCTTTATCTTCCCCTTCAAATTCTTCACCAATTAACTCTAACGCAGTCAAATAAGCATTTATTGATCCGCTGAAATCACCTATTGCGCATAAAACTCTTGCTAAGTTAGCTTGTGCAGACGCCAAATTTTTTGTGAAAATAGCGATGTTTTCTGTTTTTTGATTTTGTAAGGAATTTTCTAGTGATCGTATTGCGTGAATGAATGCCTCAGATGCAGTCATGGGTTGCTCGAGCCTCTCTAAAATCAAACCTAGTAGATTTAGCGCAGTTGCGTCGTCGGGGTTTAGCTCAATTAATTTTTGTAATGCAAAAGATGGTGAATGTAATAAATCACTATTAGATGATGCGTCTGATAAGTGTGTCTGGAAGCACTTGCATGCGTAGCTGTAATTGGCCTCAGGCTGCAAGACGAGGAAATTAAAGTCAATACATGAAAATAAATTTACATAAGCAATCATATACAAATTTACCAAACAAATTCCACCACTAATAATAAAAGTATGTTCAAATAATTCCAATGCTTCTTCACTGCCCCATAGATTTGCAACATAAGCCTGCCCAGCCCACGAAGGAAAAAAATCTGGATCAATTGTTTGTGCATTTGAAAACGCTTTATTTGCAAGTTCAAGATTCGAATTTATTAAATACAAGAATCCGATATTTGTCCATGGCACGGGATCCTAATCACAAAAATCATGTACATACAAACCGATTAATATAAAATTATTCATAAATCATTATCTAATCGAAATAATCCGCTTTAACGAAGTGCACCTTTCCAAAAAGTAAACTTCGTTATATTTCATTAAGCAAATTAATTATGATACTTCTAAACTGGCCGTTTTATTCATCAGATTTAGAAGCCTTTCAATTTATGGGATCTTTGTTCAACCGGACCTTCGTTAAAACGGACTTTATTATGTAATAATAAAATGCGATACTACACCTTTTGTGAATACTCGATTGCCTTTATGAATGCATGCTGACTTATTTTAGCATTTGTAGTCAAAGTAATTACGCCCAAAGTATTCCAAAATGAGGGATTTGCAGGTTCTAATCTTAGTGCAATTTTGATACAACGAATAGCAATACGCAGATAGGACAGAGATGTTTCTGCAGCTTGAATACGCTCATGTTCATATAATCTATGATATACTACGGCCAGATCATACCAATATGAAGGCGCAATGTCGGAATCATTGCCACTCAATATGATAGCATATTTGTAAGATATACATGAACAAGTTAAAATTGCGGAATACACGTCAATGATAGAATCATCCTCTTCTGTAATGCTTCTAATTGCACTATCATCAATTTCGCTGGGAAATCCTAGCTTTTTATTGATATCAGACGGATCCAGATTCTCAATAACACTCCGTAAAGTACTCAAAGGAATTAGATGCAAATAATTTGGTATAAAACGAACTTCCATGCACAGATCGCCAACTAGCTTCCACAAACACTGCATCTCCGGATGCATCTGAATAGCACGCAACAACACTTTCAATCCATCAGCTATCGAATCGGCAGCACGACCATAAGAACCCATTTGAAAATACTCTTTTACAAGTGCCAGATAGCTATCACCAGAACTTTTCAGCGATGGGAAATGATCTGGCTCAGCTTTTTCTTTGGCTTTCTCTATTGTGATTTTGTAGTATTCTATTGCTTCGGTGAAGAACCCTAATTTTTGTTTTATTGCGGCAATTTGATAGTTTGCGAAAATTGAGGAGGGGTCGATTTCAGCTGCTCTTGTAAATACTTTGAGAGAAGCGATGTATTTTCCTTCATTGCGGTATGATTCTGCTAAACCTTCCAAACATTGGATATCCTTAGAGTTGGTTCGCAAAGCCGTTTGGAAAGCTGTAATTGCATCTGTATAATTTTTATTGGCCTTGATTTTTGAATCGACAAATAAATGATTAATGGTTAGGGTATTATGAGTGTCTAAAAAAAATTTATTACCAATTCAAGAAATCCCAATCGTTTCCAAGCCCAACCAGCTTTCGGATTTGATTGGATGATTGTACGATACACAGTTTCCGCCAATTCATTATTATCCTCAGAATGATAATACTGACTCAAATGCAAGGCAGCTTCTTCATCACTAGAGTCCAGTGAAAAAGCTTTCATATAGCATCTTTTGGCACGAACATTGTCTCCAACAAGACAGTAATAATGTCCAAGATATGTAAAAGCTCCGGCAAAATTGGTGTCAATTTCGATAGTGCGGTATAATTTAGCGTACGCGTATTCTTTGTTAATTCTATATTCGCCTGTAATAGTTCACAGATTAGCAAAATTCTTCAGGGAAAAATAAAAAAGTTTTTTGAAATAACTGACCATCCATTGCCCAATAAATTCGCCCTAATCTATAAAAGTATAGTGGATTGTTATCACAGAGTTCAATAACTGCCAAACAAATCCTTTTAGCCTCTTCAAAATCTCCAAATAGGAAATGAACCCATCCGATTTCATTCTGAATCAAAAGGTTGTTTGGATCGAGTTGTTGCGCTCTTTCAAGTATTTCCATTGCTTTATTGTATTGTTTTTGGGCAGAAAGTACCATTCCATAACCCTTTTTATTTTAAAAAAACGCCATTTCATTTTAAATTAATCAATAGATTTGTACTGCTCAATTAATTAAATACCACAAGCGCCAACAAATTATCCGGCTCTTGTTCCAATATTTTCTGATAATATCGCGACGCGTCTGTGTAGTATTTTCCGCCAATATGGAGATAACAATCAGCGATGATAAGTTCTAAAGAACGTTCATACCTACCAAAAAATTCGATACTTAATTTTTTTTAAAAAATTTTGTGAAATAATCGAAATTTCAATCCACAAACCGATCTAGAGCCAGACACATTTCTTGAGACTTTTGTGTCGCCAACTCACATCCTGATAACGCGTATTCAAGAGCATTCTCATAATCTTTTGAATCGTGATGCATCCAGCTTAACGCGTGATAGGTAAATAAGAATTGCAAATCATTCTCAAGATCATCCTAACAATTTTATGTCAATAAAACTTCGATTTTATGTTTAATTGAAATAGGATAACAATATAATTAATTTTACATTAAAAAGCTCAGTTATTTCATCTATAGAATCGCCATCCTTATACCGCAAATATCCTTGGATGCTTTTTGATAGCGCAGTATCAGGAAACAGTTCCACATATTGACGTAGTAGAGTTATGTCGTAATCGTCTACAATAATAATGGAAAATTAACATTTAGCAAATTGAGATTCGTGCAAGTCATTATATATTCCCGTATAATAATACCTAGGGACCCAGCATTTGTACTTTCAATTAATATTTCGTAAGATAAAGCGAATTCATATTTTTGGTCAACTAAATGGCATGCCATACCATGAAGTTTTTCGTTTAACTGGAATCAACAAATTTGTATTCATATAAAGATATATAATAATCACCGTCAAATATTGTATTGATAAGGGATATTAACCTGTTTTTTCCTATCTTGAGGAACAGCCGCAAGTTTCTTATGTAAATGCGTAAGAAACTTTATCGATAACTCCTTTAAATCAACACCAGATTCTTCTGAACTCGATTTCATTGCCTCTATCAAATTCTCATAAATCTCTTCCAACTAAAAAAAAAAAAGGTAATTTTAAATTCTCAGAACTATCAAAACATCTTGAATATAAGTAAATCGAGAAATTTGGAATATTAATAATACTTCTGAATTCGAATAAATTTCAGTTTGCACTTGTGCCTTAATAGTAGCCAATGGGCCAGCATGCAACCGCTGTCGACGCGTCTCGACTTCTCGTCTTAGGGATTCAGTTTCCTCGTGCTCAAGCAATTTGGCAATTTCACACAAGGTTTGTATTGGAGTTGGAACACCATCTAAATTTTTGATTAGGTCATAGGATTTGCTTTGTGGTAGAAAGTTTTTGAGAACAGCGACGAGCTAATTGATAAAAACGTAAAATATAAGAAAGATGTTATAATTTTAAATAAAAGTAGTTCACACATTAAAAATTTTTGATTTAACCTTTCGTATGTTTATTTTTTTTGTTTTGTGCAAATCAATTAATTTGTTTATTGTTTCGAGTACTTTCTCATCTCGACTAAAAAAAATATTGAAAAGAAAACTCGTGAATTGTCTATGGAAATCTATTCGCTTTATAAAATATTTATGATCAATCACCTTTCAATACGTCTTTGTAAAACCAGATCCAATGTCTCTTCATATTTCTCCCAATTTTTTTGTTTCTCATAAAACTTTTCAAGTCCCTATATCGAATATATCGAAACAAAAACCATTACTTAGATTTTGCAAAAAAAAATCACACAGTTCGATTATGGGACCTTAATTGAATGTAATAATACAATCAACAAAAAAATCGTAAAAATCAAACAAATTCTTTCTAAATCATTATACCAAAAATCAATTGTCATCTTTCATATGCTAACCAAAACTTACTAGTTTATTTTATTCTTTGATAACAAAATGGGCCTTGATGGTAACTATATGCACGAACTAACCAGTGGGAAGACATACCTCCCAGGCAAGAGGTTTCGCGGTATCGATTTCAATAGCTTTTCGGTAACTTCGCTCGCTCTCTTCAAGTCTATTAAGATTCAAATAAGCGACTCCGAGAAAAACATGTCTATTTTGTTTTTGAAATTTCAAAAAAAAAAATTTATTGTTGACTCAAACTAACAAAATACCATAAGAAACAACAACTTACGCGTTATAGTTTTCCGGCTCGTAACTAATAACATTTTCGCAACAGTTAACTGTCTCTTCGTAGTTCTTTGCCTGAATGGCGTCTTTTGCTTTTTTCAACTTGTTCTTAATGTAAGTTTGAGACATTCTAAACCGCTTCAATTTTTTGCTTAGTAATACCGTTGCAATAATTGCTTATCAACGAAAATCATATATAAAGATTCAAATCAAAAATCAAACTTTCCCTTATGTATTTGAACACCCAAATTATATAAATATGAATAATATGAATACAAAAATTCAATATTTATATTACTTTTACTCTTTCCTTTTCTTCTTTTAATAATTTTAATAGTTTAAGATACTATTCAAAATACTTTTCATATTTTATTCAGTCTGTCACTGGTATCGTATTATAAATATCATCCTGGTATCTCATCAGACATCCTGCATTGATGATAAAGATTATAGCTAAAATGTCTCCTGGACAGATCAAGATATAGTAGATATCATAACAACTACAGATTCAATAAGAGAGAAATTATTTCTCTACAACAAACTCTCTCAAGTAATGATTGGAAATATATCATCCTGACATTGAAAAATTACCAGTAGAGCTAGTAAATTATTTCAACATATTTCAGAACAAACAATTCTAAGTTTGAGAAAGCTATCATTAACAAAATTAGGAAAAATAATGAATGATAACTTTGAAGAATTGTTAAGTCTTGTAGAAACTTGGTATTCAGTTCTAAATTTTGTGAAGCAAAATGCTAATAAAGAGAATCCTGTTGTGATATAAACTTTTAGTAGAATATTGATTAATTATTTATTATTAATTGCTTTATATTATAATATAATTAGATAATTAATTACTTATATCTTATTAGCTATAAATAATATTATTCACAGATATTTATAGATGATTTTGCAAGCATAATGATTATAATAAAATTATTATAGCAAAGTTAGCAAAATTATCATAGCAAAATTAGCAATATTATTATTATAATAATATAAATTTCTTTAATTTCATAATTTTTCAAACTTTAAATTTTTGGTTAATCAATCAATTTTTGAAAAATATGTAAGTTTGAATAATTTAATTGGTGTATTAATTATGAATTTAGTTATAGTTCAGTAATGATTTTGTAATATTTTATTAATACTTTAGAATTATAAATGTATAATTAATTTAAAAGTTAATAATAGTTTATAAATAATTCATTAATAATTTAGTAATATTTTAGAAATAATTTAGAAATAAATAAAATTTATTTCTTTTTGTTATTTTTTTTTATAAAATATTTATCTTATCTTTTTATTTTAATTTTATTATTTATATTATCTTTAATTTACTATATGTATCTTATTTTTTTATTTTATTTATTTATTTATAGTTCTTTTATTTTAGAACTTATAATTATATATTAAAGTAACAAATAAATTATAAGTAGAAATTTATATAAAATTTATATAATTTTAAAAATATATAAATATCTTTACTCTTAAATATGAAATAAATGTATTTAAATAATAATAATTTCTTTATTCTCAAAAATACTTGAATTATGCTTATCTTATAATTATTTTTGTATTTTTTATTTTAATATTTTACTTTTAATTATCTTTTTTATCATAATAGATTATATTTTGATTAAGTATATATTTTTCTTGCCTGAAAAATATAAGTAATGAATACTTTTTACTTAAAATAAATCAAATATATTTTATTTAATTTTATAAGATTCTTATAAAACTTTCTTATATATAAAAGTTTTGATTATCTTTAATATATACAGTTTAATTCAAAAAAAATTAGAATTTTTTATTTATTACTATATTATAATTATTATATTAAACTATATAAAATTTTTTTTATTTGATATTTAAAAATAGATAAATTTATTTAAATAAAATTAATATAAAATATATTCTTTATTATTTTTTATAATTAGCTTACTATTCTAATTTATTAATATTTTTTAATATTCTTTTTTCTATATTTCTCCTATTAGATTTAAATCTGAACTATTTAATAGCCAGTCTATAACTTCAGATATATTTTCTAAAAGAAAGAATTTTATCAAGTAACTTATATGCTTGAAATTATTATTCTATTAAAATATTATTAATTCACAAATATTCTTCTCATTTTTGATAAATATTTATTTAAAATTTTAATGTAAAATTTCATATCTATGATCTGTTTAAAATAGAATAAACTTATTTTTTTCTTAATATAAAAATTTTTTCATGCAAGAATTTTTATTTGGCTTTTAGATATATAATAAATTAGTTATTTTCTCTTATATTATTATTTTATAATATTTCAATAGAATTCAAATAATATCTCATTAGTAAAAAAAGTTCAATTTTAATTATTATTAAAATAAACTTATATTTACAAAATCTATTTTTTCTTATATACTTTAATAAGTATAACTGTTAGCTTGTAACTGACTTTTTAAATATTTAAGATTATTTAAATATCTTCTAATAGTTTGATATGATACTTGTATATCCATTTTTAATATCTTTATAATCAAATTTCTTGTCAAGAGAGAGATATTTCTATAAATATATTATTTTAATCTTTTTATAAATTATCTATTAATTATTTTTGGTTATCTATTTTTACCTATATATTTATAAATCTGATTTTTTTAAGTTTTTTTATATTATTATATTATTAAAAGAGAAAACTTTATTTATATAATATAGGACAGCATAAAATATCCATTTTTAACTGGCTTATAAAAAATCTTATAACTTTTAAGCAAATAATTAAAATAAAAAATCCTCTTATAAATTGATAGATCTTTAGTAAAGCTATAATTCTGTAAGAGCATTTTTTATTTTAATTTTTTTTTAAGAAGTTATAAC